ATGGGAGCAGAATAAATACTTCTCAAAATTTATCGAAGAATACTTAGTGTTTTCGACTAAAATCGTCGATTTAGGACAAATAGCAATGCGGTTCTTTTCCGTTTCACATCTGACATACACTCAAAGATTAGATAAACCTGTTCAGTTCTATTAAATCGAAGCAGAATAAATACTTCTCAAAACTTATCGAAGAATACTTAGTGTTTTCGATTAAAATCGTCGATTTAGGACAACTAGTTTAGTGTCTGTTCTGAAGCGGGGCTACCCGTAGACAGGCAGCCTAAGTTGAGTATGATGGAAAAGTATCTAGCCGTCCAAATAGGCTCATCCGTGTATTTTTTGGCGTGACAGTGTAATTGGACGAAGAGAAAGCACACACACCGCTGCCCAGACAATCATAATTAACTGTGTGGCGTATGTAAGTATTCAGTAGCCTGGTTGGTGCAGAAGTGTAGGCCGTTAAACGTCAATCAAAACTGTTCTCTGTTATCACCAAGAACAGAGTAGAACTAGTTTTATTATACTTAGTGGTCTGAAACCTGACCAGCCATTGATTACTTACCTTTATAATTTGTGCAGTATGCCATTGAATCCTGCTATATATAGAAGAATCAATAGTGTAATTTGGATTATTGTACTAACTAAAATATGTACTTAATACTTAGAAATTGAAAAAATTTACTACAATTAGATTTAACTAAAACCTCATTTTTATTCAGACGATTTTATTTCTCTGTATTTTAACAAATAATCCCCTTAATCTATTTATAGGTTATATATATGCAGATGACATATATAACGCGGATAGCTGTCGCTAAAAATTTAAAATAAAACTGGTCTCTGGGACGAATAACAAGTAAGGTTTACTTGTCAAAGATCTCAGAGATTCGGTTAAACTTTAATAAATAAAATAGAAGACCCGATAGCTGCCCTAATAAAAATCTCTCATTTCAACGTTCACATCAAATGATTGTGACATATTGGGTTCAGATAATTTAAGATTCGTCATGGATTTAAAATTGAAAAGTTAGTTAAATATAATTCACATGCATTTGAAACGATTAAAATTTCTTATACTATCTTGTCTAGCATACCACCATATATACAACAACGTATATCACGCGCTGTATTCTTTTGACTCGTTGAAGACATTTCTTTCTCGATTATCTCACAATACTCACTACATGTACTTTCTTTAATTCTTACAAATGTCACTGACTCGATCATGTCATAGCGATAGTATTTACAAATTCAACTTTCAGCGCTGCAGCTTTGTGATTACCAGCTTATAGCGCGTGATATGCCTTGTATATGTTGTAGTAAGAAATTTTAATCCCTTCAAGCGCCTGTGAAATAACTTGATGTTTAAAATTTTATTTAAAATTATGATGTTGTTGTAGCATTTATGCGTCATTTACAATATACTATTCAAAAAAAGTAGGGGATATTTGATTTTGGGGGCATAATACTAAAATATGCAAATGACTACGAAAAAAGTCACTATAGAACCTAACAGAAGAAACATTTCCAGTTACATGTGACGCCCAAACGCACCAATAGCTACCGCATGGAATGCAGGTGATGCTTGGGATCATCATGGGGGTCCAACCCAAGATTTGCACGACTCTGACTTTGAATGTTACAGTCATTGTGGCATTGAATTCCAGGGTGGAAACATCAGTTTAATTGTTTTAGTGACCAGAAAACAAATTTTGATATGCGTCGGCTTACCCAAAATGAAAGGTTACTTGCCCTTGGCATGCTACAGATCGGCACAACACAGGCGGTTGTGGCGCGGACGATGAATGTTTCTCAGTCTGTCATAAGCAGGCTATGGTCCAGATACCGTGATACACAATCTGTACAGGACAGACCACGCTCAGGTCGACCAAGGGCGACAACTCAAGCCCAGGATCGATTTATCCGTACCTTGGCCTTGAGAAATCGTGTCATCACAGCAAATCAGATCAGCGCTCGTCTTCAAACAGACACTGGTGTGAGAGTGAGTGGCCAGACGATTCGGAATCGACTGCATAGGGGTCACCTTCGCGCCCGACGTCCTCGCGTGATCCCTTGTTTGAGAGATCATCACATTCAGGCAAGACGTCGTTGGTGTAAGGATCGTCAACACTGGGATAATCGACGCTGGAGCAATGTGATGTTTTCAGATGAGTCAAGGTTCACTGTTGATTTTTTGGACAGACGTAGGAGTGTGTGGCGTTGTCGAAACGAGCGCTTCCAAGACGTTAACGTCATCAGACATGATCGATTTGGGGGTGGTTCTGTTATGGTGTGGGGAGGCATCACTGTTGCTGGAAGAACGGCTTTACATGTTGTTGCAGGGCGTGTTACAGGCCAGTACTACCGGGACAACATCTTGGCAGTCCATGTTGTGCCGTTCGCACGACGTCATGGCCTCCGTTTCATCTTCCAGGATGACAACGCAAGATGTCACAGGGCCAGGATCGTTACAGGTTACCTCCAACAACAACATCACCACATTACCTTGGCCAGCACTGAGTCCCGACCTCTCCCCCATCGAGCATGTCTGGGACATGCTTGGACAGAGGTTACGTCAACGTCAACAACGTCCTGCCAATGTCCAAGAACTTGCTGCTGCGTTGCAACAGGAATGGGACAATCTGGACCAAAATGACCTTAGACGTCTCATTAGGAGTATGCCACGTCGGATCAATGCTTGTTTGGCAAACAGAGGAGGATTTACCCGTTACTGACTTGGTTGTGATGCTGTGGTAACTTTGCTGTTTGACCCCGGGTATCATTTTACCCTTATAATGGTCAGTCTGTGCCTTACTTAATCTAACGATCATTTGGAATAAATCGATGAATGTGAACTTCATTTCATTTTGTCATTTGTTTCTTCGTCAGTTTCATTAGGTGACTTTAATAACACTTAAAAATCAAATATCCCCTACTTTTTTTTAATAGTATATTTTTAAAGCTTTTAAAACTGGAGATGTTCCACGGCATCTAGTCTTTTGTTTTGTATTAGGGGATATACTGAAGTCTGTCTATCTATCCGTTGACGCTCACAATAAAGAGTAAGCAGAAACCACGCTGTCCTGGGAGACTTTCGATCCTCACGTGACATTTCCGATGATGACGTAGTATGATGTATTCAATTCATTCTTCATTAAGACAGCGAGAGCGGTAGTCAGTTGTACGGGTGGACATGAGATATGCACACTATGTCCCTCTTTTTAGTCGATTTTTCTCACCCACGGTCTTTCAGTTGTTTTGATCCTCTTGCATTCAGAATTATCGCATTATTGCTCCCCAATACTTAATACTTCTGGAAGCTGGAGGAATTGACATGCTGAGGATTGGTGTACTTCACAGCCCATGCACTGTATGCCACGTGGTCGTCTTCATTGGCCAGGTTGGTGTAGTACCATGGGACGCGGACATTTGGATTTTATCTTAGTTAAAATTTCGTGAAACAGGCCCGAGTTTCATATTAAGCTCCGATACATAGGATACAAGCATAGATTAAAATAAAGTCATTTTCTCTATCCCGCTCCCATACAGACTCGGCGAGTCTGCTGGTGGAAATTGCTACATCTTCTCCCTTTAAGAACAACATGGTTGTCTAACAATCGCGCATATCTCGGAGTGTTTTTGTATTTTCGCTACCCATATTTTAATTGGTTAAATTTGACGTAATTTTAATCGTGTGGTTGGTCATGCCTCGTGCCTTGCATACCAGCAGGGACTCATTACCAAATTTGGTCAACAGACACATTCCATTCTTGACCATCAAGATGGCATATGACAAATGTGTTTATTAAAGGACAATATTGGTTCCAGTCATTATCATATATGTGATAGAACTGTTTAAACACGTTCCAAATATTATTGTATCACAGAGATCATTGCTACGATAGATGAATAACGTATCTTTAAAAGAAATGAAATTAAATGTATCTTTAAGCGAAGTAATTATCATTGTTGTCTTATGCTATTGTGTATTATTTTTGTAGATCGGGTATTAAGTGATGAAAGGTGAAACGGTTCGGCTTCACTGCCGTATGAAGTAGATGTAATTACACGAAAAACAAAAATAAAAATGTTGTATTATTTTTTCTCGAGAGCTAAAGGGTTTTATTTGCCGATGAGTTTAAATGCCAAAGGAGTGGGTTTCATATTGGCCGTTTTAAAGTGCTTTGTTAAGATTACATGAAATTTAAAGAGTTTCTTATCTAGTTCAAACTCTCAGATATCAGAAGTTTGAATAGAATTGTCCATACTTCACCGATATTCCGATATAATTTTATTTCAATAATTCGCTGGTGCGTTGGGGTCTTTAGTCATTGTTGAAACTTAAGGCCACACAGAAACGCTACGAGGTTAGACTGGCGACCCTACTCCTTGGCTCATCACTAATGGATGTGTTTAGCAATGTGTTTAAAAACAGTTATAAAACATTAACCATACCACTAGACTCAATGACAAACATTATGATGCAAAGCGCATGCAAATTACTGCGGTCCTCAAATAAATCGAATCTAAGACTCCAAATCGATGAGAGAGAGAGAGAGAGAGATAACGTCCATTCGACATAGATTAGGTCATTTCGGGACTAACATATTGTTAAATTTTATTTCAATAATTCGCTTGTGCGTAGGGGTCTTTAGCAGTGGGAGGAAGCCGGAGAACCCAGACAAAACCCACGAGATTGGACAGGCGACCCTACTCCTTGTAACATACAACCGGGGAATCGAAACCACGCCAGTTGACTCAATGACAGACCTTATGATACAGCGCGCACACGCTAATCATTCGGCCATCCAACACACCTCGATGATGGTGAAAACATTGTTGAATTCTTTCACAATGATGCATTTGTACATTTCAAAACTGGATGATCAATCAAAATTCTAACATTTAAAATTGCTGAATAAATTAAAATATTAAATACATATTCGTGATCAATATTATTTTAATATATTTTTTTATATAAACATTTATCAATTGGATGCTAGGATTGGGAATTGAATTAATATTAAGGCATTAAATCTTTTAATTCATCAACAGAAATATTTCCCCCGGAAACAATTATAGCAACTTTCTTATCCGTGACATCCGGGATCTTGTTGCTAAGGAGAGCGGCCATTGCAGCACAACCGGAAGGTTCAACTACTAGTCCAGCATGAAACATTTTTTTCATAGTATCCAGAATTTCAGCATCTGTAACTAATATCACTTTATCAAGGAATTTCCTGCAATAGTCAAAGGTCATTTTTCCGGCGTATGGGGGTGATAACCCAGAAGCGACAGATTTCACGGTAGGAATCGACACCGCTTTGTTGCTCTTAAAACTTTCGTACATGGTGGGAGAACCTTCAGGCTCCACGGTATAGATTCTACACGCCATGCCGAGCTTTGCACGAACGGCGGCGGAAATACCCGATGACAGTCCACCTCCACCGCAACAAATGACCAAAATATCCAAATCCGGAACTTTATCTAAAATCTCCATGCCGATGCTTCCATAACCGGCAATTAGGTCGCGATCATCAAAGGAATGACAAAAGTGAAATCCCTGTTCCCGGACATATTTATCAACTGCTGGTTGTAATTCAGATACGGGCACTTGCTCCACCGTAATTCCATACCCTTTAATGATTTCTACTTTACTTTGCTGCGCAGAATCGGGCATGATGCACAAACCGGTAAGCCCTTCCTGGTGAAGAAAATAAGCAAAGGCCCGTCCGTAGTTCCCTGCTGACATTGTTATCAACTTTGTCTCCCGATTTCGCTGTATTATTTTACTAATTTGATTCACAACACCACGAATTTTAAAAGACCCAGTGTTCTGCATGCTCTCCAATTTAAGATAAAGATCGACGCCACTGGCTGCTACGTCATCAAATAGATACTGCATGTGGCTGAGTAATGGAGTCTCTCCGACCAGCCCACTCTTCATTATTTCTGTTTTAGCCGATGCCATTTCCTCTAAGGTGAGGTATGCTGCTTGTGCTTCCATCTTATTCTTCTGCAAAATTAGAACAACATTTAAGGGCCTCAACGCGTCAAACGATAGGTGGCTATACCTCTGGCAGTATTTATCAGAAATCGCTGAAAATCAATAGGCTTCTTCGTCTCATGAACATAAATTTACAGTCAATCGAATAGTAACTTTAGCCTCTAGAGGGTTCACAGCCAATTGTTGACGCCGGACTCACGGACGGATCGGCGGACATGGAGATACGGCACAGTTACCCAACTGAAACAGAAAAGTGTGTTCTAAACGTCAGTGGGGGGGGGGGGTGATCGAATGGTTAGCGTATGCGCGCTGTATCACAAGGTCTGTCATTGGGTCATTGGTTTCGATTCCTCAGTTGTAGTGACAAGGAGAAGGGTCGCTTGTCCAACCTCGTGGGTTTTACCCGGGTCCTCCGGTTTCCTCCCACTGCTAAAGACCCCTACGCGCAAGCGAATTATTGAAATAAAACTGAACCATATGTTAGTCCCGAAATGACCTAGTTTGTGTTGAGTGGACCATAAACTCCATTTGTGTCCAGTGGACGTTAAACTCTAAACACCAACACTCAAGTCAAACATCAAAGCAATGAAATGTATTAGATAGTTTATTTAAGAAAGAACTTCCAAGTATTACATGTGGGTACCAGGGCAAGTGATATCAGTTGTTCCGAACCCGATGCACTAGCCTATTCACCACAAAATCTATGTAATAAAATTCAATTCCCGTACTAGGCATAGTAGTAGAGAACAGCGAGGTAAGGGCTGATTGCTGTAGAGGTAAATGTAAGGGCAGGTGTGGAGTTGGGGGGGGGGGCTAGATCTATTTGTTAAGGCCAACTCAAGGTCGCTGAGATGTAAATAAAGTTAGGGCACGTGATTGCTGGCAAGATTGTAAGTTAGGGTTAGGGTATGCATTGGGGCTAGGTCAAGGGTTAATGGAGAGATGAACATGTGTTCATTTCTAGGCGCTGTTCTATGACAGGTACGAAGACATACTAACACACTGTGTTTTTATAAAATTATCATAACATATAGTTCTGACTTGTTTTGCTACCCGTACAACCCAATCTTGACACCGTTTTATTTAGGATCTAATTAGCACAGTAACCTACATAGCATAGGGCCTATACACAAGTAACACTGTAATATACATCCAATACAAAACCTGAGAATAATCAATTTATGTTCACAGAGATCGGTAGAAACATACCTTTTTGAGGATACAAGCATCGAAATATTATAGCAATACCCTCAATATATACCACAACTATACCTACATGTAAATGATATATGATCAGATAACAGTAATACATGTGTGTCCTATATAAGCAAATCTTATATACGCTATACTATACAGTACACATGTGTGTATGTACACAACACAACCTACTTGTTCACTGTGTGGTACAGTCGCTGTGCTGATCAGGTGACAGTCATGTGATCGTAAATATCAGGAGTCAGACCAGGGCCTTTATTCACGAAAACAGAAACTAAGTTACAACCGAAATTTTAAGAAATACTGCAACTTCATTGGATATATGCAAATTGATTTTACTGGTCAGCCAATCGAATTGCAGTATTTCTTAAAATTTCGATTGTATCTTAGTTTAAGTTTTCGTGAATAAGGGCCCAGTACTTTGAATCAATTTTAAATCTATGACAGTTGTTGACCTATAACATTTTATTGAACATTCCGCGATAATCCTAATGGTTATGGCTGATAACAATATTAAAGGGATTATTGTTTCGATGTTTTTCTACGCCTAGTTAAAGCATCCATAGGAGGTTGTGACGGTGTGGCGCAGTTTCCCCTTGTCAGTGGTGCAGGGTGGTGGGGCTGACAAGGATGACAACGGACGAAAATCCGAGGTCCCGTTTTCTCATATGAGTGCATGTAACAGAACCCTTGTCCGGGAAAAAATTCCCTCATAGCACACCGCATGGCGTATGCCCATCTTTATTTTCCCAGTCGGTGCAGAAAAGTAGGACGTTAAACCCTATTTCATTGCATTTTATTTCTGTGACGGTAGTAAATTGATTTTGTAAGAAGATTTAAGAACCCAATATTAAGAATAAAGGAATATACGATGGGCGGGAGGGGTGGAAGTACGTAATAACCCCGAATAGAATTTTGCACAACAGAGAAGGAACTGCGCATTCGTTTTTATACATCCACGCATACGCCTCTGTTTCACCTTTCCTTGTCTTGGAGATACGTCAGCGTGGGGGAGGGGGCGAATGGTTAGCGCGTGCGCGCTGTATCATAAGGTCTGTCATTGAGTCAACTGGCGTGGTTTCGATCCCGCGGTTGGACGTAGGGTTGCCTGTCTGACCTCGTGGGTTTTCTCCGTGTGCTCCGGTTTCCTCTCACTGCTAGCGACCCCTACGCGGTTGCGAATTATTGAAATAAAATTGAACCATATGTTAGTCCCGAAATGACCTAGTTTGTGACGAGAGGATGTTAAAATCTCCCCTCTCCCTCTCTCTCTCTCTCTCTCTCTCTCTCGCTCTCTTTGCACACAATTGTTTGTCTACAGTTTAAAGACGTCATTCATGAAATATAAAATATAAGTCCGTTGACTTTCAGTGACAATTATTGCCCTTTGTGTTAATTTGATCTCTTTGAAATTTACATCTCTTAAAGTCCTGTTAATGGTACTTGCTATTCTAGACTAGTTAAACTCTTCAATGTACGTCCGATCCGAAAATACACTTCTGGAGATTTGCTTGGTATAATCGAGATTATTTGCGAAGCACTTCGAATATGTGTGTTCTTTAGTTCAAAGTAGTGGTTCCCCCTCTTTTGTTTGTGTTCGATCCCTGCATTGGCCTAGAAAATTCATCCAAATTTTCCGGCGTGGTTCTCTCTTGTCAGTGATGCAGGGCGGAGGGCCTGACAAGGACAGCTATCTAGTCGTTCGGATGGGTCGAAAAACCGAGGTCCCGTGTACACATTGGCGTGCACGTAAAAGATCCCTTGACAGTTGGAATTCGATATAAGAGTAGGCCGCTGTCCGGGCAAAATGTCCCTGATAGCACACTGTATGGCGTATGCCCGTCTTCATTAGCCCAGTCGGAGCAGAACAGTAGGACGTTAAACCCCATTTCATTTCATTTATTTCCTTTTGATAGTTGCGACCCCATTCCAGAAATCAGCATCTGATCGCGACCCCTCGAAGAACAAAGTTTTACTATGAAACATCATCATTATTTACATTTATTTTTGTTTTACTTATTTGACAACTTATTGTTCACATTTTTACACCTTTATAAAAGATTGGCATTTTGGCAAGAGGTGTTAGATTCATATGATTTTCATGAAACCCAGGGTTTAAAGTATCTATATCAGCTATAGTTACTATTGAATCGAATCGGATTTAAGTCAGAGGGGACCTGTGTAGTGAGAGAGAGAGAGAGAGAGAAATGGGGTTTAACGTCCACTCGACACAAACTAGGTCAATTCGGCACTAACATTGGGGTTTAACGTCCACTCGACACAAACTAGGTCATTTCGGGACTAACATATGGTTTAATTTTATTTCAATAATTCGCTTGCGCGTAGGGGTCTTTAGCAGTGGGAGGAAACCGGAGGTTGGACAGGCGACCCTACTCCTTGCCACGTAAACCGGGGATTCGAAACCACGCCAGTTGACTCAATGACAGGCCTTATGACACAGGGCGCATTGCGCACGTGCTAACCATTCGGCCATCCACCCCCAACCTGTTTAGTGTAGTGGAGACGCGAGTGGAAGAGCTTAATTGGAATTGTCTCCCCTTATTCGTTTTGGACGGTATTATCTTTAGTCTGTGTTTCTGTTCAAGGTGACCATTCTTTTGAATTGTCTGTATATTGTGTCCTGTCCGTAGGTTTGTCTTGCGTAATTGTTTGTGTGTGGTGCCCCCCCCCCCTGCACTTACTATACACGTGTTTCAACAACTGAGTACCCTATATATCCTGTCATAAGCAAATCCAAACGTACCCTTCCATGCATATTATATAATGTTTGGTAGCATTCGGCTATACGTCATTTGGCAAGCTTGTATTTACAATACTGGGCTATTTGAGTGGTTTCGCTCATTTTATATATTTATTATAACTATGTGTACATTGTGACGGAGGTGGATACTTCGTTTTTGTCGTGACAGTGGAAGTTCCGCGTTCGCTTCTTTTATTAAAGGATGCTATATACAAGCAACGTGTACACAGAGGTGGACAAACCGTTATTGTCCAGTGGATGTTCCCCGACGTCGTCCTCTAATAAATGATGCTATATATAAGCAACGTGCACACGGAGGTCGACAATCCGTTTTTGTCCTGATAGTGGAAGTTCCGCGTTCACTTCTTCTAATAAAGGATGCGCTATACATTACAAGCAAACGTGTACACCTGTGAGTCTCCCTTTTTGCCATATCTGAATGACTAGGAATACTTGCACAATTTTGAGGGAGTTCCTCGGGCTCGGGAATGGAATGCATAGTAACGCTTCCCCAATAATGGGAATGATCGCCGGCGATGAGGTTGAAACTAGATGGTCGCTGTTGCCTCCCCGAGAAGAGCTTGCATGTGATTGGTGTCGTATACGGTGCATGATGAGTATTATTTATGAACACTTCATACCTCCTTACCACGATATCATCACAAAACGTAAAATAAGTTATTGGGAGTAGTATTTGGTATATGCATTTTCAATAATTTTGTTGTGGGGACTTTAGTAGTGAGAGGAAAAGGAGGGCTGACTTATCAGCTGATTGAATTATGTTTATAAAACGAAGGACCTTATTAAAAGTTTTCACCTGATTTCAGGTATTATTGTTTTGTTTATGTCCGCTTTAAAATCAAAACTCTTAAGTGTTAATTACAGTGTGGGTTGTTGCCCTTGGTCATATAATCTCACAAATATACAGCAGCCAATTTAAACGACTATTATTATTGCAAATTCGGGGGTTAAACCCATTTCATTCTATTCTGCTAGTATCTCTTTGAAACAACCTTTAACCTTTACTGCTGACGAACTGAAATCTCAAATATGCACCTTATGAATTAAGCTACATCAATTCTGGCAAAGTATGCGTTAAACACGGTGGATTCTATCAATCTGTTCTGTATCTTTTTAAAAACCTTCACATTGGAACCGGAACATGTGGACAGAGTAAATATTGGCGGATGAATGTATACCCGGTGATGAGTCTATTTAACCATCAACCAGGATATGCAGTCACCACATATATTCCTCCTTTCTTCATCAGCTTCATCTTCTCTCCAGACCACAGAATGTGCTTCCTCGGCACCTTTACCCAGGATATACAATACCTTTTAATTTCGTCAGCTTGATCTACTCTTCAGACCAGACAATGTGCTTCTTCAGCACCGCTACCCAGGATATACAATACCTTCTATCTTCATCAGCTTTATCTTCTCTTCAGACCAGAGAATGTGCTTCCTCAGCACCGCTACCCAGGATATACAATACCTTCTATCCTCATCAGCTTTATCTTCACTTCAGACCAGAGAATGTGCTTCTTCAGCACCGCTACCCAGGATATGCAGTACCTGTACCTCTTATCTTCATCAGCTTTATCGTCTCTTCAGACCAGACAATGTGCTTCGTAAGCCCCCTCTACTTGGGAAAATGTTGTACATTGATATTAATATTAGATTTGACGTAAATTTGGTTTAAAAATCATCAAACTGATGATAATACATTTTAATGACATTGATAACTCCCCAAGAAAGAAAATATATACTGAATGTCACTGAACAGGGTCGAGGACAATAGGGTGGAGTACGTTTATAAATAAGTGATGGGAATTTTGTTTCAAGGTAGTTGGAAGACATGATTCCCTGACTACGGTATCTTTCAATCTGGAACCCTTGATCCTGTCATTGGTGTACACGTTAAAGAATCCTTGACAGTTGGAATTGGAACCGCATGCCGCATAAGGCTCTTAGTGGGGACAAAATTGAGAACCCCTATAAACTATTTTGGGTAGGAATAGTGGTAATCGCACTATGAAACCCTAGTTGGAACCGCATGCCGCGTTAGGCTGTTAGTGGGGAGAAAATTGAGGACCCTATAAACTATTTGGAGTAGGAATAGTGATAATCGCAACACGAATCCCTAGTTGTGATATTTCGAACTGTATTTTTTGGCTTACTTATGGATAAGGAGAACCTGATATGGTGTTATCCAAATTCTTGCTATGTTCCCAGACGGCAGACATACATGTGTTTAATTATTACTCTTCGGGTTAATTTTCAAAAGTAATAATAATGCCGTGCATTGCTTATGCCAGGTTCTCACTGCCGTGCAATGCGTTATAATAGCATTGTCCCTATTGAGTCCACGATCTGCTACGTGCAGATGCGTTC